TAAAGGGACACATGCACGGAAGCACGTCATCTTGAAAAACTGGCCCGTTCTTCAAGATGACATCATTAATGATGACGTTTAGTGTTGATAACTATTCATAACGTGCGGCCGCGCCCCTATTAATTAAGGCAAAATGGCTACTCGAGTGGCTACTTGTAAATATTCCTGGTGTTTCTTCACTAAAAAGAGTATCTTGGGGTGGCAAAAGAGCTAATTCTGTTCGAGAGAAGTGTTCTACAGATGCCTACTCCCGGTTCTGCGACTGATTGCTGTCTCTACTCTCTACGCGTGTCTAAACACGTGTCATAACTATTAATTAATGATCTGTTGCACGCCCAATTTAATGTTTACTTCCTCTACAGTAACGTGTGCATTCTATTTCCGTGAACGTGTCCCTTTAAGTTTAAAAGACTCTGACTGCTCTTTCTGGACAACAGGACCTCGTGTAAACTGTCGCGGTAAGCGATGTTTGAGCTTCCATATCTCAGGAATGAAGAATTTAAGACAAATTTCCTACATTTAAAATCAATAAAAACTTTCAATCTATCGTTTAATGTGTTCTATTGCATTATTACCTTCGTCATGAGAGAGTTGCAGGAAATCCTGACTACGGTTTAGTGACATGCGACTATCATTCGACTTATTGTGTAGAAAGAGATTACTAAAGAAGAATTGAAGGTGTTGCGTTGTAATAATAAGAAATCAATTTACAAAACTCAACTATAAATGTATGTGTTAACACACTTAATAATAAAAGATGAGTTGGAGTGGAAGAGACAGTGAATATTAATAATGATGAAATTGATAAGCACAATATGTATGTGAGCAAGATGTGTGTGTGATTATAGACTTATCGATTGGGATAGTCGAGAGAATTGAATGCGAGTCGGATGAGAGTCTGGTAGGAGATCGAAAGGAGGTCGAGCGTTGAGAATTTGAGGATGATGAGTGCTCGAGAATTTAGACTAGCAGACTAGGACTAAGACTAAGACTAACTGAATTACAATTGGGTTCTTCCTTAAATAGTAGTGCATGTGGTTATTAAATTAAAGTTAAGTTATTAGTTGTAAATTATTATTGAAGTAAATTAACACTACATTACTCCCCCTCCAGTGAATGAACCATGAACGAAAATTAAAAGAAGACATTAAGACGATCAGGCCATCGAACGCGACGACCAGAGCGAGTAGTCCAT